GGAAGGAAGGAAGGAAGGAAGGAAGGAAGGAAGGAAGGAAAGAAGCAGGATGGGAGGGAAGGAAGGAAGGAAGGAAGGAGAATAGATAAGAGGAAGGAAAAGGAAAGGACAAGAGGAAGGAAGTGAAAGGAGAAGGGAGGGAGGGAGGAGATGGGAATAAGAGGGAGGCAGGATGGATGGGAGGGAGGGAGGATAAGGAAGGAAGGAAGGAAGGAGCGTGGGCAAAGGAGAAAGGAGGGGAAAAAACTAAAATGAGCTGCCTCCTCCATGGGCATCACAGGGACCCTCCCCAGTGGGCCGAGGGCTCTCAGGGCCCCCCTTACCTTGCTGAAGGAGCCCTCCGCAGAGCCTAGCAGCCGGGCGTGTTCAGGGCTGGCAGGCATGGCAATGCTGGTCTCCAGAGACTGCGCATACTCCTCCGATTCCAACCTGGGTGGCGAGAGGCCTGGAGATCAGGGCCCCCGGCCTCCCCCACCTGCTGCTCCCCAGAGACCCAAAGCGCCCCTCCTTTCCTTCAGCCGCAGCTGGCTGGGGAGCGAGCGCTGCAGCCCGACCTTCCCGGACCCCTGAGGAGGAACCCCAGAGGAGGCCCAGGGGACCAGGCGGCCTCCTTCCTCCCTCTCACGGATCGGCCTCGGAAACGCCTCCCTTGGGCCAAGGCCAGCAAGGCGCCGAGATGGGAGACCCTCCCAGGGCTTTGCAGGGCTGGGAAAGGGGCTGCAACAAGACGGCTCCGTCCACCAATTGAGTCAACGGGTTTCATCTGCTCTGTGCCCAACCAGGAGGGGAGGGAGAGGGCCGGTCCCTGTCCAGCACCTGCGCATCTGCTCCTGGGCTGCGGAGCAAGCCTCCTCGGCGGCCAGGCGCCTCTCCTGCTCTTCCTGCAGCAGCTGCTGAAGCTGGTTCAATCCCTGCCTGGCGAGGCTTTGCTGGTGCTTGGCCTCCAGGAGCCTGGAAATGGAAGGAGGGGCCCCATGAGAAAGACGGGGGGGGGGGAGACAGCAGCCCCCAGAACAGACCCTGACTCTTCAAAGAGAGGGAGGCGGGGGACCAGACGTCCCTGGGAACTGCTGGGGGATCAGAGGCAGACGGGAAGAGAGCCTCCTCTGGGGGAAACTGCCAGACAGGCTGGAAGGAGGAGTCAAGCAGGGATGTAGCTTTGAATCCTTGAATAGCTGCAAGAGGCATCAGCCTGAAGGAACCCCCAACCGATCACCTGGGAATCTTCATTTGGGGCTTCCCGGGGGAAGGCAAGAACTCCGGGGACATCCTTGTAAATACAAGGCAGTCCTCGACTTACGACACAACCGGGCCCAACATTTCTATCGTTAAGTGAGGCCCCGTTCTTACGACCTTTCTCGCCACGTTGGTTCAGCGAATCACACTTCGGGGCTTAATTTAGTCGCAGGGCTGTTCAGCTGGGACTGGCTTCCCTTGTTCGCTTCGCTAGTCGGGTTGCAAAAGGGGATCGACGGGACCCCCAAGGACGTTACGACCGTCACAAATACGAGTCAGCTGCCAAACCTCTGAATTTTGACGGCGGGACCCTGGAGATGCCACTAAGAGAGGCGTTTAAAAAAGGCCGCAAGTCCCTCTTTTTTTCAGTGCCGTCGTCACTTTCGAACGGTCGCTAAAAGAACTGTCGTAAGTCGAGGGCCGCCTGGATAGGCCGAAGCCAATGAAGCTGTTTGCTTCGGCCATTAGCGACCGGCTCCGATTCCTTGCACCTGACGCCTCCATTGGGGTCACGTCTTGGGGGGCTGGAACAGACGCTCCGAAGGCCGGTGGAAAATTGGGGCGAAAGGGATCCGGCGGCCCAGGGACCCCCGAGTTATTTCGTTCTCCCACCACACTCACTGTGCCTGGAGGTCCTGCAGCTCCCGTGCGTTGGTCTCGTCTTTTTCCTGGGGGGCTCCCGGGGCAGCATCAGTCAGGAGGGGTCCCTAGGGTAGAAACCCCGCATGAAAATGGGGCTCCTACTGTCGTCGTCCCCCCCCCCGGATTCTGCTTCATTTGCGTTTGCCATTCGCCCATGTCGAGCACGGACTTGACCAGAGGGCCCCCGGTTTGCGCCAGGCAACCTGTGCTGTATGGAAACCAGATGTGCTCACCGCATGGGGCAGAATAGCAATAGCAATAGCAGTTAGACTTATATACCGCTTCATAGGGCCTCTCTAAGCGGTTTACAGAGTCAGCATATCGCCCCCAATAGGGCCTCTCTAAGCGGTTTACAGAGTCAGCATAT